TGATTTGGGTTGGAAAGGACCTTAAAGGTCATCTTGTTCCAACCCACTGCCATGGGCAGGGACATGGTTCCAGTAGACCAGGTTGTTCAAAGCCCCATCCAACCTGGCCTTGAACACTTCCAGAGAGGGGGCATCCACAGCTTCTCTGAGCAACCTGTTCAAGTGCATCACCACCCTCATAGTGAAGAATTTCTGTCTTATATCTAATCTAAATCTACCCCTTTTCAGTTTAAAGCCATTACCCCTTGTCCCATCACCACATGTCCTTGAAAAAAGTCCCTCTCCAGCTTTCTTGTAGCCCCGTTCAGGTACTGGAAGGCTGCTATAAGGTCTCTCCGGAACCTTCTCTTCTCCAGACTGAAAAGCTTCAGCGGTCTCAGCCTGTCCTCAAAAGAGAGGTGTTCCAGCCCTTGGATCAATTTTGTGGCCTCCTCTGGATGCGCTACAACAGGTCCACTTCTTTCCTGTGCTGAGGCTCAGTTTATCATCAGTCTGCTATCTTCAGAGGACAAGGGCAGCTCTCCCTACCTGCACTGATCAGCGAGCGGCATTTGATTGATGTATGTTCTGCTTCTCCTTCGTGTTGTATTTTGCCTCTTGGATTTCCTTGACTGCAGTCCCTGATAGTAATGAAAAATATGACTTTTGGCTAAAAAAAAAAAAAAGAAAAAAAAAAGAAAACCAAACCTCTTTGTTTTAAGGCAAGAAAAAGGCCAGGGACTATTGCATCATATAATTACATAATTGTTTAAATCTTTATGTAATACCAAGTGTTTGTTCAATAATTAATGAGAGACTTGAAAGAGTAGTTTTCAACATAGAGTAGCATGTCATCTCCACCAGGTATTTTTCTGTCTGTCTTTTGTTTTCAAATCTCATTCCCTGCTTGAGGTCTGGATAAATGGACTTTTTTTATTAAATCTCGTTATTCTACAGCAAGGTAAATGATAGCCACATCTAGCATCTGGTAGCAGCTGTAGTGCTATTATCAAGACAGTACCGTATCAGCAGTTTTCCCAGCTACAGGTGCTTAGTTAGTGGAATTACAGGTCCCAACATGTCAAAGTATGTGGTAGATGTTTATTTTTTAGCATGTGAGCTGTCTTTCAAATGCATGCTGGATTTGGACCTCAGCTACTTAAATACCATTGGTTTTACCAGACAACATTCTGCAAATCCCCACTACTACTTACAGCTCTTTTAAAATTTGGCATTAAATCTCCTTTATTTCAGGCTTTTAAAAACTCCTTCTCCACAAATCTTTGTAATGGAATTTATTACCTTCCAGTGGTGCTCGTATAAAAATGCCAGAAAATAGAGTCTCTAGGTCAAATTCAATGCTCATTTGCTTTTTTTTAGGTTTTTTGCCTTTTTTTTTAATAGCTTGACATCACTATTGTTTGTCTTCTTTTTTTTTTTTTTTAAATTTAATTTGGAAGGTTGTTTTACCTTTTTAATAAGGGGAAGCTTCTGAAGTGTTAATCAAGAAATGCATGGGAGAGTGGCTGCACCTTCCAATGTGCTTGTTCCATATTCTGTAGACTAAAGAAAAAAAGGCTGGGCTGAATAGTGACACCTCAGTCAACCCTCTGATTGTCATTAGAGCCATTTATTTACTTTCATCAGAAGCACTCCTGAAATGTTTTTGAATTCATTTGGGTGAATTATAGATGAATGGAATACTTCTGTGATCATACCAATTTATCACTAATTTACTAATCACCCAATGTAAGTAATAACTCATGAATATGAAGTGCAGCTAGTACTAAAAAGTACCTATGTTCTGTAATAAATTCTGTCTCTGCCATCTCTGCCAGGCTTCATCAAATCATATGCTTGATTTCTTTGGACAGAATGAAGGCCTTTCTGATTACTTGTTGTGCTGAAACCTTAAATAAACTGTCATTTGTTCCTTTTCCTCTACTGACCGTTGTACAGAGACAGTCATTTAAGTGAGAAGGTGGCTAATTTAATCAGACTGAAGAAAGGAACAATTATACTTTTGAAATATTTTCTTGTGGAACTCTTTGCTACAAGATATCATTAAGGTCAAGGGCCTATAAGGCTTAAAAACTGATTGAATGCAAACTCTCAGAGTTACATTGGGGTTAAAAGAATATAAAGCTTCATGGCTCAAGGCAGTTGTCAGTTTTTAACTCATGCAGATTGGGAAGAAATTTCCCTCTAGCCACATGATTTCAGAGTTACCAGCGTCTGCACTCTTTTCACCTTTCTAAAAAATAACTACTTCATCACGGTGAGATTCTGGAGCAGCTCTGTCAGTGCCTGAAAGCAATATAGCGAGTCTGATGCTTACCTGTAGCCTCAATTTCAAACACTGGGTATCTGAAGAATTTCATGAGCTAATGTTTTTCGATGAGATTATTTTCAATGGTTTTGGCTGTGTGGTGTGTGTCTTGGCATGTATGTCCTCCGAAAAGCTTTATAAATAAATCTGTGAGAGCAAACAGCATGGTTCCATTTTTTTTATCTCAAGTCTTTCTCTAAGACTGGACTGTCAATTCTGTCATAATATTTGCTCTTTGGACACTAGCAGTCATCCTGTTTCACAGAATCGTTCTGTTCCTTTCAAATATGTTACAATTGATCTAGCTCAAATGATGGCAAATAGTCACCAGTGTCCTGTGGAAAGTTCCTATTCAGCTCCAGCTCCTTTCTGTGATCTGTTCTGGAGTGACCTAAGATTCTTTATGGCAGTTTTGGTGAGATCTCTAATTTTTATGAATTTTTGACCAAAACACACTGATAGTGCATCTTGGGTTAGACTGTCCATTTGTGCAAATGGAACTTTATATGCTGAAAACATATCTCTAGGTCTGTTCAACTGGCAAGAAGTATCTGTCTAAAGCCTGTGAGCAGTCCTGATCCCTAACACGGGCATGCAAGAACATCCGGTGTGTCTTGATGGCAGGCGGAAAGGTCTGTCTGATCGGATAGTGAGTTGTCGGGTTTTTGCTCAGGTGCAGAGATCAGCTATTCAAGAAGGAGGAGGTGTTGTATTAAGTATATAACGAGAAGGTGTCTATCCTGAAGCAGCACAAGTTGTCGTTGCCCAAGAAGATAGTTTTGTGCTGAATCTAGAGCAGGTGTCAACAGAGACTGGTTAGCTGAGCTTTTGGGTAGGAATGTATTTAATACTGATGGGCCACAGTCTCCTGAGAATTCGGTGTTGTCTGTCAGGGTTACAATGAGGGGCAGTAGCATGTTGCAAAAGGCAATCTGAGCTGAAGACAAAGTATTTTTAATGGTTAAGACAAGTCAAATTTCAGTTTTCTGTAGTGGAATATTACCTTGAAAAAACAGCTCCTTGACAAAAGTGATAGTGTAGCTGTCCTATTTAAAGCAAAACATGACAGGTTTTGTGACCTGAAGTTAGGTGGGATCATTCTCCTCATTGACATTCCGAATAGACCTGGGACGTCTGAGCTGATGCAGAAGCAAGGCAGGCGCTCTTTCTAGGGAGCAGAATCCGGAGCCGACAGTAGGCCCTTCGAGGACACCAATGAACTCTGCCTGAGAGGGAGCACTGATGGGGACATTGGAAGGAGGGTAGGTGCTGTGCTCAGTGAGACAGGGCTGCTTGAAAAAAAGCAACTTACCCTGTACGAGAGACTTTCTTATATTAAAAATCCAGCCAACAGACTACAGTATTTCTGTCTCAGAAAGCATAGAGAAGGAAAAACAACACAGCTCGTTTGAGCTGAAGATGTTTTGTTGGAAAGAGAAGAGGATGTTGGTCAGGCATCTAAGCAGAGGTGTGGCAATGTAGCAGCTACTGTTTCCACACGGGCTCTTTTCCCACAGTTCCTAATTTTGGTTTCTTCTTCCTCTTGCTTTGTTCATTGCATTGGTTTTATTTCTTTCTTCTCTTGCGATTATGTGCTCTTGCAGAAGGTCAAAGCTCTAAAGGTTATGAAGACACCCATGGGAGGTGTTCAGAAGTATTTCATATCAGAGTATTTCCACAAGTTACCTGATACTGAAAAAAAAAAAAAAAGCACTAGCACTTCCTTGTGTAGGTTCACAGCCAGACAGTTCCTCTGGGAGTGATGTGTCCTTCCCTTACACTACTGTATTGTTGTTCCATGATAACATAAAATTATCCTAAAGATTCTCTAAATCAAGTTAAAATTTTAAGAATGCAAGAGTTATCTAGAGAAATCCCAACCAGCCAAAAAAATAAATAACTGAAAGTGTCAGCTGTCTATCCTATCCATCATTTAATGAGCAGCATCTGTATGCATATTTCAAATGCTTACATACCATCAATAGGATGTAGCCAAAGCAGATACAGTGTAACGAGACTTTAATCATAATTCCTCTAAATGTAGCAGGGAGTTTTCTGACTCAGACTCTATATACCATTTGAAAATGCAAGTTCCAGTCTTGGAGATACAACCATGGTATGAATATATTTTATTATTTTGAGCTTCTGGTTATCATGTTAATAGTTAAAGGGGGCTTACTTAAAGGATTATCCAAATCTACAAACATCCAAAGGGGAAACATATTAAACAATGTATGAAATGTCAAGTGCAGTGAAATGGCACTTTTAAACAATTTTTAGTCAGACATAAATAAATGAGGTGTTCCCTCTTACTTGGACAACATCTGTGTTCAAAAAATAAACCTGATTCTTTATGTAGAAATGTAGATCTCTGTCTACAGTGTACTGTATGGTAGTATTGCTTTCTGTCTCAGACATTGTTATTCTTTGTTTTGAGCATCAGCTAAAACATTCAACTAGCTCTTCAATGTTTATCCAAATGTCTCTGTGATTTTCTTTATTTCAGCCAAATTCATAATACTTTGCAAGTATTGATACCACTTGAAACCCACTTGGTGTGAATTTATAAATGAATATAACCTCTACATGTCAGAATTAAATGTTAGTTCCTGATGTTCCTACCATGAGGGATGTGCAAATTACATCAGAGTGTGTTCTGACATTGCTAAAATAATGTTCTCGTTTTCTGTAGGAAATGCTATTCGGCCCATCGCGCTCCGGGCAGTGTCTGCCATAGCCCGTGCTCTCCCAGGATTTCCCATTTTAGCAACTGGAGGCATAGATTCTGCTGAAAGTGGGCTCCAATTTCTGCACAGTGGGGCTTCTGCTTTACAGGTACCTTTTCTTTCTTCAAAACATTAAAATTAAAATAACTATAATTAAAACCATAATGTATCTTACTTTCAAACATTAGCATAGTGGGGTTTTTATATAATTGAAAGGAATTTTCATGTTTTTAGCTTCATGCTTCTTGTTAAGAGACATTCATTTCAGATGGAGCAGGAGGAGGAGCTGCCAAAAGAAGTCTTTGGGTGTCACAATACTAGTCTGGGAAAAGGCTAGCCATGAGTATGTTATTACTTTTTTTCTCTGACCTATAGGATTTTAACTGTAAACATCTCTCCCTTATCATACAAATAAGGTTGACCTGTGTTAAGCTTGAGCTATCTGATCTTCCTTTATTCTCTGGTTTTGTCTTCTGCAAAGAGCCTTTTCAAGGCGAGGAGGATTTCAAAGAGCACTACTTTGGTCCCACTAGCAGCCAGTTTAAAGTCACTGTTGTTTATCCAGGCATCTGTGTCCCTTAAGCATGTTTAATGGGACAGGAGGTGCAGAGCTGTACCTCCTGCATGTGGTGCTGGCATTGCAGCTGATTGCATTGGAGTGAGGTGTCGGACTGCATGCAGTAGCTACGGCTCTTTAATTGCCCGATGTGTTGTTTTGATGTCCTGGCCAGACTGGCATGGTTAGTTAGTCCCTGTCAAGGAAGGAAGCCTTGGTGGCATGTTATTATGGTCATCAGGAAATTGGCTGAAAATCAGCCCCTTACCTGCTCTACTAGGCATGTCAGGGCACCATTGCAGCATATACTTTAGAATGGCTGATAGGAGCAAGTGGTGGTTGTGTTACATTTTTCTATTATGTATTGTTACATTCTGGTAGATACTCATCCCCATCATAGACAAAAGCAGCTGTGGATCCTGTGGATATTGGCTTTGTGCCACTCCGTGGGACAACTGGAGTGGTTTCATTCCTACAATACACTTAAATGTTAAAATTAGGTTCAGTGTGACCATCTTTGCTGCACAGCTATGGTGACTGCTGAGATTAGTAATTTGTTTGCTATGTTTTAGAGAAAAAATAATAGGCCAACTCAATGGTTTGGTTTTGTTAATTTTTTTAATGCACATAAAGTTAGCATCTCGGAGCTGAAGTAGAAGGCTACTGCTTTTTTATAGACTTACTATGTTCTTTGGATTTATTAATACCTATTCCTGGTGGGGTTTTTTTAGTTTATGTTAGAATGCTTCAAACTCTTCGTTCCCGTGGACAGACAAAAGATCTCTCTTACAAAATGGTCTGAGAGCTCCTTCCATATAGATACTAAGTAATGGTACAAATTACAAAGCAGCATTTGTCTACAAAAAAGTAGGATTGGCAAGGGAATATGTTATAGGTGCATTTCATTTGTTGTTGGTAATAGAGCTGCAGTTTTGATGGCTTTCTCTGTGGCAATGTTATGTGATCTGAACTACACAGAATGGAATAATTTTCTGTTCTACATCTGCTATATCTGTTTCTGGTTGACTAAAAATTAAGTTTTTTAATGTCATTTATGCACTTTTCCTTTATATAGGCTGTGTAGCCGTTTATCTTTTTTTTTTTTTTTTGATGGTTTACCACAAAGGTAACGGGAAATTCTGAAATATAATTCAATTTGGATATCCTAGTCAGTGCTCAAGAGAAAGAATATTGCATTTACAAAACATTAATTATTGTTTTCTTTTTAGTAATAAAAAAGTTCTCTGGAAGTGACTTCCAGAAATGACTTGGGTCTGTACTGGTCTTCTGCTCTTTAAAGAACAATATCTCGAATTTTCAACAGATTTTTCCCAGAGATGGTGAAAAAACTCTTTTCTTGTCCTTAGACTTCATCAGTTTGACTTTTAAATCATTTCTAGAACTGATTGTAAACTCCTCTGGATCAAATCTATCCTCAGTTTGAGTGGCTTATTTCTGTTTCACCTAAGCAGGGAAGTCATTTAAACTAATCTGAGATAAATGAATTCTAAAGCTGCTCTGTAGGTAAGGGTCTGAATGAGTTTAATTACATTTATTTAAAAATAAGCCTTTAGTAAACTTCATGCAAGATTATAAGTACAGGCCATAAATCTTTCCCTCATCTTGGGAAAGGCAAATGGAAGGGAGGAGGAAGCGAGTGATCTCCATAGACAGTCTTACAAGAAATACACTTGACCGGGACTAGACCAAAATTTTCATTTGCTGCTCAGGCAAGATACGCTGTGATAGACAGAATTAGACAGCTTCATCTTCATAGGTTATCTTTGGAACCCAGGTAGGATTATGAGAGTCACTGCAGTTGTTTTCCTTCTTAACAAGGTCATATGAACAGCCGGCTAATATACTTCTCCCTGAATCCAAATCTCTCTCTCACATGTACTTGGTATCAAATGCCCAGGTTGTTCTTTCTTCAACAGTCAAAACCTCTGTCGCTTATTGTAACAGTTTTGACAATTCACTTCTGCTTTCTCAGTACCAAAATACAGAGTAAGTACAGAATTTGCAGATAGCGTCAATTAAGTTGAATTATTCAGTATATTAAGTGAATTAGTCAGTATATTAAGATTCACTACATAGCAAGTCCCTGAGTTAAGTAGGTAAAAGGTGGGACTGTACTAGGGGAATTATATATGCATCCCATAGCCTTATCTTAGGTATCTGCTTAGGATGGTGTTGGAGATGGTGCTGAATAGACACTTGGACTGACTCAATACTGCACATTTTGTGTCTTACTTCACATTTCCAAAACCACGAGGATACCTTATGACTTATCCAGAGGCAGAAAGCAAGCAGCTCAGGCTTTGGCAGTGCTGCAGTGAGCTCTGCGCTCAGCTATGCTGAGTGAGCGGTGGTCTCAAAACCTGGGAGTGGGTATTGTCACTGCTATCACTGCCCTGTTGCACAGAGTAGCGTGTGGAAGTTTCCTCATTAGCAGTATTTTAAAAGGACAGGAAATGTCAGTTCATCCAGCATTAAACACATTCTGACACTACTAAGCAGCACAGGTGGTATTGATCCATCCACAGAGCCCAGCTAGAGAGCCTGGAAGAACAGCACTTGGGTGGCTGTAGCACTTCCCTTCGTTTTGCCTAGGCAAGAGTCCTGTGTCTTCTCTGCCAAGTAAGGGTGACGTTCGTGGGATAAGATAATACAAAGGCTTTGTGTGAGTTGGTGTAATTGCAATGTGGCATATCTCTTAGAGAAGAGGTTTATGAATAATAAATGTACCTCCATTAAAAGCAAGATCAGGTTTTCCTCTGCAGCTATTTCACCTACAATCAGTTCTCCATTATTTTTTCCAATCGCTTTTATTTTTAAAACATGGGGATTTATTTTCCATTTACAAAATCATCATACACAGGAATGCAAGTCAGGAGTCAGGTGGTAAGCCATATTTTGATATATGCCATAACCACCTCAAGTGGTATTAAGCAGGTATATTAGAGAATGGTTTAGGCAGAGAGCTTCAGTATTCAAAGTGTGTTCTATCCCGTCTAGAAGAAGTCATCATCTTAGTGTCATTACTGACAAAAAGTTCATGTGTAAGGAAGTTTCGCAGCAGATACAGAAAAAAAATGGATCATTGCAGTCGGTAGTAGCTGATTAAAAGCTGGGATTAAAATTTTGTACAGCAATTTAGAATTATAGAATCATTTAGGTTGGAAAAGACCTTTAAGATAATCGAGTCCAACCATATAATGCTGTTCTAACAACCTGTAAATGCTGTTCTTTCACCTAAGTTACGTAACGTGAAGGACTGCAGTAAAACAACATGATATGTTTAAACCCAAAAGAATAAGGTGCTTCTGAGTCATTTCAGCAGCTGGACAAAGGAATCAAAGTCCTTATTGATAGCAGTGCTTTTCTATGTAAGCTTTATTTTTGTACTATGAAAAAGAAAGAGTAGGATGGCGGATGTGGTGTGAAAGGAAATGAAAGGATGGCAGATGTGGTGTGAAAGGCTCCACCCAGCCTGTGTTTGTGCTTGGGATTGCCCTGATCCATGTGCAGGACCTTGCGCTTGGCCTTGTTAGACTTCATGAGGTTCACACAGGCCCACCTCTAGAGCCTGTCAAGGTCTCTCGGGATGGCATCCCTTTCCTCCAGTGTGTCGACCACACCATTCTTCTTGGTGTTGTCGGCAAACTTGCTGAGGGTGCCCAAGATCCCACTGTCCATGTCACCAACAAAGATATAAAAATGCACTGGTCTCAGTACTGATCCCTGAGGGACACCACTCGTCACTGGTCTCCACTTGGATATCAAGCTGTTGGCCACAACTCTATGAGTGCGACCATCCAGCCAATGCCTTATCCACTGAGTGGTCCATCCATCAAATCCATGTCTCGATTTGAAGACAAGGATGTCATGCAGAGCAGTGTCAAATGCTTTGCACAAGTCCAGGTAGATGACATCAGTTGCTCTTCCCTTATCCACCAACGCTGTAACCCTGTCATAGAAGGCCACCAAATTTGTCTGGCACGATTTACCCTTAGTGAGGCTGTGTTGTCTGTCACCAGTCATCTCCTTCTTTTCCATGTGCCTTATCATAGTTTCCAGTTTGGGCATTTTTTTCCAGTTTTCCATAGGTTTTTTTTAACAGACCATTCTTCCACTTTATGGACTTCAGAAACAGTTGCAAAAAGATGCTACCTGTTTTTTTAATTTTTTATTAAAAATGCTGAAACATTTCAATCAGTCTTCAGCTGATTCCATAACAGTGTACTTTTTTGTAACATACCCAAATCCACCAATCCCTTTTCAGTACAGGTATGAAATTTTTTAAAATGGCAACTTTATTTGTGGAGATAATCTTGCACTCATTGCATACCAAAAGCTCCAGAAATGTCTAACTGCATCTTTCTGAGGTGCAGTTCATTACTATAGGCTTCCAGTGAGGCTGAAGTATTTTTTTTCAATAAAGTAAGGGTTTTTTTAAGCCCAAATATATCAAAATAAGATGTATATTGCAATTTTTTGCATCTTTTGCATCATATATATGACTTACCATGTCGCATTGATGGTTTTTTACA